CTGAAACAATTTTCAGGCTACATTCTGCTTCTTGACTATCCACAGAAAACTGTTCTAGGATTCAATTTAAAATTAATTAAACTTGAAAATTTATTGGGGTCAATGTTAATTTGAAGATTTGACAGTGCCTTTTTTTTTTTTTTTTACATGTAAGGAATTTTTTTTCCCAAATACCACTGTTGAAGAAAAGGTAATGATCGAATAATGAGAGGATATGGCTTTCATTTTAGCAATAATTATCTTCACAAGAAACCTAGATATACAGTAAATTAAGTACCAAATGATGACAGTGAGGTTATCTTCAATTTCAGTATTACATTAACTGATATGAGTGCACAATTCTTTGATGAACACATCCTAACAGTTAACTGGTATGAAGATGTTAATGATGTCAATATTGAAGTTTATGTAACAGCCTGTAATCAGAGAAAAAAAATTCTCCCTGAAAATACAACAATAGTAACAATTTCCATAATTCTGTAATTTTTTAATTTGGATTTATCCACTGAGACGAAAATGATACATGAAGAGAAAGAAAACATAAGGGGAAGTTAGAAAACTTTAAATTTATTGATTTGTAACTCACAGGTGAGTTACAAAAAGGAACATGTCTGCCATGGTCCTGCGCTTTGTTATTTCCTACCTTCACCATAGCCCAGAAAGACGGGAGTTTCTAGAACATTGCATTTCTGAACTTCATGCTCATGAGAACTACAGAGAATCTTTGAATTTTTTGCACAATAAAGTCTTGAACCTGAGACTTTCAGAGATTTCAGCATCATCAGACTGGCAGAAAACGCTGCTTGACTAAAACAGTTCAGGTAACTTTTCCATTGCTCAAAATAGGACTTTTGAAAGAGCTTTGCTTCAGAAAGATCAGGTTTGAGGAAGGCTAGAATGCTCACAGACTTATTTTCTTCTTGGAGTGATATGGGCAGACAGCCAAGGAAGAAAAGCACCCTGGAAAAAAGTAAAGTATGCTTTTCAGGGGAAACAGGCATTTGTATTGTGGGCACAGAAAAGCTTTTGACAAACAAAAACTCCAACCAGAAACTGAACAAGACAGATGCTGTCTCCAGATAGAAGCAGAGAGCTGGAGCAGAAGAAGAAGGGAGGTATTTTATTGGGAAGCAGAACTACCAAAAATCTCTTCAGCCCAGATAGCCCCTTGGTTCCTGTGGTGTGGTCAAACACAGAAGCACCTAGTAACAGTTTAAGAAATTCAAGCTATTTTCCCTTCTTCCTTAGTTGAAAGGTGTTTAACTGAAAAGCCATGTGAATTAAAAAATAGATACAATGATCACATGATAATAGATGCCCCTATTTTTTAAAGGGATGCAGCATCTCTCCCATGAGGAAAGAATAAGAGAATTGGGATTGGTCAGCCTGGAGAAGACTGACCTAATTTTGGCCTTCCAGTACCTGAAGGGAGCATAAGAGAAAGGTGGGAGGCTTTTTACCAGGGTGTGTAGTAACAGAATGAAAAGGAATAGCTTTAAACTGAAGGAAAGTACATTTCGATTAGCAATTAGGAATATTTTTTTTTCATTTGAGGGTAGCAAGGCACTGAAACAAGTTGCTCAGAGAAGTTGTGGATGTCTCCCATCCCTAAAAGTGCTCAAGGCCGGGTTGGATGGGGCTCTGAGAAAACAGGTCTAGTGGAAGGTGCAGCAGGGGTGTTGAACTAGACAATTTTTAAAGTCTCTTCCAACTCCAAGCCATTCTATAAAGCTGAACTAAGCATCTGCCCTGAGGCAGAACAACTCCTATTTCCAAGTCATTCCTCAAAGCCTGAGAAATAGCCATTGGTCTCCACTCCCTACAATATCCTATTCCTATTCCACATGGCATTGAGAGGAACCAATAGCTATTACCTTATCAGAAAAAAAAAAAAAAATCAAAGTGCATACTAATTGTGCAAAAGATGCCAAAATTGGCTTAACCTTAACCTTTGAATAGGAAAAACATAAAACCAAAACCAAACCAAAAAGATGGACTGCAAGTAAATTGCATGTGCTAGGGAAAAATAACAGAATATTGGAATATTGTTTTCTAAGTATCAAGGACTTCCACTAGATCTGGCAGCTTTGTAAGTATTGAGGTCTTAACTGGAAAAGGTGACATATTTCAGACCCTGGCTGCCAAGCCCTGCTTTGGTCCCAGGATTGCATTATTAGACATACAGCAAGATTTCAGCATCAGGCGTGTCTCGTTCCTTCTCTTCTATCACAACTATGAAGTTTGAATGTGGGGTAGAAATAGTACTGTAGGCATAAAATATTCAGCTCTGTCTGGATCAGGAGAATTTTACAGGTGGCTGAAAAATTACTTCTTACTCACCTTTCACTACTTACCATGGAAATATTTGAGATTAAGTTTATTTTTCACCGAATTTCTGGAGTGAATAGAACAAACATAAAGAAGAACACCATGCAAACCTAGTAACAAAACCCCTGCGAGATTCCCCAGGGGAACAACTCCCAGGGGAACAATCACACAATATACTGAGCATAAAGCAATACCAGCAGCAGGAAATAGGAGAATGTGCTTTTCTCTTAAGCAGCAAAAGCTATGAATCCTTCCTGGTTACTGTTGAGGACTTAGGTTACAGAATAAACAGAAAAGTACATATCACTGTGGACCATACGAGCACTAATTATTTGCTACCAAGGCTGGACTTTTAATTTGTTTGCTTAAAAAAAAACCTCCTCAAACCAAACTCACGCCACTACCACCACACTTGGTTATAGAGCAAGACCTAAGGAGTTGCTGCTGGCACTCACTTGAATTTGAGTAGTGATTCCAAGTCCGAATTACATGAAAACATGTGAACAATTGTGCATATCTTCTGTAACACACTGTTTATCTTTGATCTTCTGTTTTATTTGTGTGACTTCCTACCATCAAGTGAATATATGATGAACAATACGATGTCTAAATGTTTAATGTGGAGATACATAAGAAATATGTGGTTACTTGAAAGGCAAGAGGTACATCTGGATGAAATGGAGACTTTGGTTATGAATTCTGTAAATTTTAAATGAAAAAACCCAACTAAAATGATCAAAAGGTTAACTTAATGTAGTATTTATGCATACCTTTCAAAAATAATATTCTAGCTATATCGTGGCAATTTTTTGTTTTGTTTTGTAAACTAGAAATTAAAATAATTGGTATACAGAAATACTTTGAAAGTCAACTAGTAAGGGTTAAAAAATACAAAATAGTAAAAATAGTAACCATTAAAATTTAAATGCTTAAATCAGATACCAAATTTTACAGTGTCTCTCAGGATTTTCTTCTGTTTTAGAATGTCTTTAATGTATAGAAGACTCCACAAACCTTTTTGTGAATGAAATTTTTATTTACACACTGTATCCAGAAGCAGATACATAAATCCTTATACAATTATTTTTCAAAAATGTGCAAGAAATTACTATAATTTTGTTTACAAACCAAAACACATTAAAATCAATGGACTTTGGATAATTCACTCTGTGGCGTGCTTAGTACAAATAGTGCACACCAGGTCTGAAACAGAGAAAAGTGTAAACTACAGCAATCTGGATTGCAAGTATTAATTCATGGCACTCCATCATCACTATAAAAATTCTTTAACCCAACAGGTATTCATAAAAAATTCCTTTAGAATTTTTCATTATCTGTGTAGAATTTAGACCACTTTCCAGGTACAACAATGCCATATTTTTCACATTATGAACTACCATTTTTAATTTATAAAGAATGCCTGTAATTTTTATTCATTGCAGTCATAGAAAGATTTAAGGAACTTAAATTGGCAATCATTAATTCATCTATAGCTTAGCTCAGAATTTGAAAGTTCAGTAACAGAGAAATACTTCTCATCATAACCCATATATTGCTGGTATGCTCTTTTAAATTGATAATTCCAGTATTCACACAGATGAAATGCATCAACAAAAACTGCACAGATTTTATTTAGCCCAGCAGTCAACATTCACAAAAAGAAATTGGCTTTAACAAAATGCAAAGTCAGCTCATCTGAGAACAAAAAGTTTAATTAATAATTGCATTTCTGATCCTTCTGACATAATTACATTTTGATAAAAAGATGGCATTCACTATGTCAACAGCAGGATAAGTGCTATACCCTTCAAACAGATCAAAGAATATACATAATTTTCAGTTGTTTATAACACTGGCTTACAAAACAAAACAAAATTTAAAAAAACCCAGGAAATTGTGCAAATTTATTATTTCTAAATACAAGATGTTGTTTTACTCTTCTAATTGGTAAAGCAAAGTTATCAGTAATGTCAATCATTTCAGCCACTGAAAGGAGTTTTATTTTAAAGTTTCATTTTCAAAAACCTTTTTCCTCAATTCAATTGTATAAAAAGCATACTTTTTGAACCCTTAAACTTTTGTGCTGAATAAATAGCCATATTTCTACTCTATAAGGACCATAGTCTGTTAGCTTTTGTTCCTAGTGTATTTACTTCCAAAGGTGCCCAAAATATCCTCCATCATCCTTCTTTTATTTCTCAAGGACACTTTGTTCCTCTAATTCTCACGAAGCAGAAGTCAACACAAATTTTGTGGTTATTGAGTGCTTATAAATTGACTCATGACTAAATACTACTCTGTTTCCTTTATATTAATCTTTATAATAAGAAATTGTAAGTATCTTTATTATTTTCAAAGTATTTTTCCTAAGTTCATTCTCCTGGCTGGCCAGACACCTCAGTATGAAAAAGTACTGTGAGGTTCTGATTAAAGAAATCTGTAAAAATAAGTATCTGTGTCTACTGATTTAAAGTATTTGGAACTTAGTAGAAATATCACCACCATTTTTTATTCGGAAGCAAAGTGCTCTATGGTTCTTACATCCTAGACCTCAACCACTTTTAAGTGTTCCTTTTGTGGTAGCTTTATGGCAGGGGAAATGACAAAGTTAACTTCACCTGATTAAGTTCACAGATGAACAACACAGCAAGGAAGGCAATTCAAAAACTGGGTAGCTGTTTTAAAACAGTTTTTTTTTATTTTAAAAAGCATCATTTATGAGTGAACAACTGAAATTTATAAAGGCATGGGCAAGAATTTGAGCATGTGTGTTCTTGCACATTTTTCAATTCCACAATAAGCCAGGATATCATAACTTCAAATATTTAGGTTTCAACCCAATGACTGCTAAATTAATGCATGTGGCATAGTACAAACATATGTTTAATGTATTCAATAGTGGTATTAAATGACAATGAAAATATTTCATATACTATAATCTTTCAAAGATTCTGTAGAATGCATAGGCCCTCTAGTATGGGGAAAGAATTTTTAAAGTGAAGAAAATGCCAGAGGTTTTCTTCCAAAAGTATGCATCTGAAATCCATAAAAATGATTTTCTTTTTCCTCTCCACAGACAGAATCAGAACACTGTACCATACAATAGGTTATTGTGCCTTTTTGAATAAAGTTAGTGATCCTGATTCAGGGGAGGGGGAATGGGACATGACTGGGTATGGGGAGAAGTCAGTAGAGGAAAAAAAAGAAAACAGAATCCTCCCTTTCATACATATATCTCCATGGCAGAGCCAACAAATGTATAGACTGCTCTAGATTATTTTCTTTTTTAAGTTTAAAACTTTATCAGACTAAAGAGGAAATCCTTATTCTCCCTCCCTTAAAAGCAAAGGCAGTCTTTATATACCTTTGATTTTCTTTTTTTATTTTTTAGTTAAACATTATGGTCAAAAAATAAATTAAAAAAATATAAATTTTGTCTATCAATTCAGGCAACCCAAGATGTAGTGCTACTGCACCACCTTGCAGCAATACTGTATTCACTTCTAAAGACTCATTTTAGGGGACAGAAATGCTAGATTAAATAAGAAGAAAATGACCCAAACAAGAAAGATGTATCAAAGATGGACTTTTTTCCTAAGATGATCCTTATTCATTAGCCACTTCTACCAGAGACGGGCAATATGACATTTTAAAACACAAAATAGGGGGGCAGAGGCATGCAAAGCAAAGCCTGTCAGCAATGCAGAGGCAGCCTTCTTCCCAAGCCAGCTATGACCCCTTTAGGAAGTAACTCATAAAAGTGATAAAAACATGGGAGAAAATAAAACCAAACTAAAATAAAACAGGAAAATGCCATGGATTAACCTTGCACGATGAAAATATTACAGTGTAGAACCTGTACTCCCCACTGAAAGTCTTTTTTTCCCTACAGAAGGTTAGAATAACTGTAAGCTTTCCAAATGCCAGAATCTTTGACAGATATCATAAACACTTACCTAATTGATTCAATATTTCATATGTCAAAACATATTTCATGACAGCAAACTGAAACATATTCTGCGGTCACTGTATATCCAAACATCTCTTCCCAGTAATTTGAAAGGCTAGGAGAATAGCACTTTAGAGATGCATTTAAACATCCTCCATATAAAATGTTATCAGTCCTGTTCCTTCCTCCTCAAAGGATATAGAAAAAAGGGGAAAATTATCCAAAAGGACATTAGTGTATTACTGTACTTTCTGAAGAGAAAGAAAAATGTAGAAAAATGGAAATGCTAAAATTTCAAGTAGCTTGAACATAAATATGGTAGAAATCATCCTATTAGAAGTTTTACCCCATCCCCAAAATGGCTTACAAATTTACGTTCCCATGACAACAATTCTTAGAGTCTTCCCACAAATCCAGGAAACTTCCTTCCCTTACTCTGCAGGAATAGGCAGTAGGGAAAAGGAAAGAGAGAGTGGACCTGGTAGATGTTCATTTATTAACTGATGGCATGATTATAAGTAACATTTTGCAAGACCCCAATACCACAATTTTCTTCTAGGTACTGTACATTGACTTTCATAGACTGTTTTTTAAAGGCCATTTTTTGAGGACAAAACACTGAGACGAGAAGAAGGCTGAACGAACCTTCTCAAACACAAGAGTGTACAGACTTAGTACAAGGCTTAGGAGGAAGGCTTTTTTTTTTCCCAGAGATATGCTGCATAACCATGTTCCTATCACACAGCTCTGTCTATACATTGGGGCATATCTCTACAGAAATGTCTAATTACAACACTAGGAAACATTTTACATTTAGATGTAAAATCAGTAATTTAGAATACCAATATGTTATTTATCCATGATCATTTTTTTCCAGAGGTTGTTTTAAAGGAAAAAAAAATTCCATTCAACAAGTTTCATTTGACTTTTACTCATCGTTGAATACACATGAAATGTGCTTTCAATGCATAAAAATCACAGTGGATAGCAGCAAAGGACTTGGGGGAAATTAAGGAGAATTTGATCATTCACATTGTGATTAATCTGCACATTGATGAAAGATAGCTATTTCACACTTCTAAAAATAAACTTGAGATCATTCTTTCCAACAAAAAAAAACAAGAAAAAAAAGCCTCCCAAAATACACAAACCCCCCCCCAAAACAAACCATAAATCCAAATGCATTACTTTTCTTTTACAGACAAAAATGAAATATTTCTATGGCAGCAAAAGATTTTGATAATAATGAAAGTCTGTAAACTGTAATTCAATCTCTTTTTGTTGTTGTTGTTCCCAAAGTGCAAGATGCAAGATTCCCGTAAGCTTTCAGTAGTGCTTTTCCTGTAAATAATCCTTCATTTTGTTTGGCAAAGGCAGTTTCTGAATCAGGTCTATTCTGGTGTACTGACGTATTACAAAACGACACAGGTACTGTAAAGAGCGCACCTGCATAAACCGGGACACTGGATTTGTCAGTCTCACTGGGTAAGTTGCAGATCCTGGCAGCCGGGATCTCGAATAGCAGAAAGCTCCATTTTCAGAGTCCCTGATTGAATGTTCAATTAAGTCAACTATAGACGTATGTCCCTCCACATCTGGCTGTTCATAAAAACTAAACCTACCATTTGAGTGTTCAATTCTAGTGTGAAGAGTTTTTCCATGGGAACGAAAACTCAAACTTAAAAGATAACGATCATCAGAACTATCTCGAACGAGAAACGAGCCATCAGGCACATTAGCTAATTTTCCCTCTGCCTCCCAGCGTGTAATGGGGCCCCAGTACCATCCTTGTTTTGCAAGTTTTTTCAGTTCTTCTGTGAGGCTTGTAACAACCATAGGACCGCTGTTCTGTACAGAGTCATAAACTCTTCCAACTCCTGGGGCAGTGTTAGGATCAAAATTCAAATGGCAGCGCATACTTTCAGCCACATGGGCATCCGTGCCATTTAATCCATTGAAGTTCCTTTGGATTTGATTATTCTGCATTGGAGGTAGCAAAGGTGAAAGTGGAGGGACATCACTATGATTAACTCTTGGGCTTTGCAACATGACTCCTGTGGTACCAATCAACAAACCATTCACCGTCTGGTCCACAAAGATATCCGGTGCAACGACCACGTCCTGATCCACTTGGCTCTCATCTTCATGGAAAGCATTTCCCCCCACTTGAGAAGAAACAGTCGAAACTTCCATGGGTGAGGAACTATCCAGACAGTAACTACGTGATCCTTCCAAAGGATACATTCCCTCATCTAAAGGCACAGTATACTGAATGTAGTCCTGAGGCATTAATCCAATAACTACAGGCACATGTTCATCAATATGAAGATGCAAGTCCCCGTTCTGAGATTCCGTATTTTTTAATGCATTTGTTTGTTCCTGGAACACATTTTCTGACTGCAAGTCATGGAAGTCCTTTCGAACACCATTCAGTGCTGGGCTTGGATTAGAGGAATGGACCAAGGCCTTGACTTTCACTTCCATTTTGATGCAAGTCTCTTCTGAATTTGTAGGTCGAAGTGGCCATGGAGTTGGGCTGTAATGGTGATTACGGAGGGAAGTGGATCTCAGAGGTCTTTGAGCTCGCACATCTTTGAAGGTTATTGGAGCAGATGAGGAAGAAAATGTGTCATCATCTGCAGAGCTTACAGATGGTGTGCTGCCTTTGCCTTTCTGTTTTTGTTTTGCTGAAAGCCTCCTTTTTAACGTACCCATTAAACTTTCACTTTTTGATCTATTTTTGCCTCCTTTTTCATCTTCACTATTGACTTCACAGCTAGCCAAATCTTTACCATAGCAGCTGCCAAACAAGGAGTCATCTTTTCCAAATTCACTTAATGATGGCTGCTGAACCACTACAAAGTCACTTTCATCTTTACTTTTATTTAAGTTAAAGGACTTGCGAATTGTTTTGAGACTAATTTTCTTCATTATGACAAGTTACCAAATCTGGCTGATCAGCGGTGCTTGCGGTGATATAGCCCTAACACACGAAGAGCAGCTTCTGCTTCATTTATGTTTTGATCCAGCCTCATTTAACTTCAAGAGCCATTTCCTGGAAAGAAAAAAAACCAGTTACATTCACAAAATAAAAATTTCAGAAATTATCTATAAGGGTTTCCCCCTCTCCAAGCAGAACAGAAATTGCAGTAATTTAACAATGGGTATCACATAAAAGTAAAAACAGGTTGCTGACTTCGAAACAATTAGGGTCAAAAAATGAAACTCCTACATTTCCAGAACTTCATTCTGCTTTCAGCATGGTAATTTTTGAAACAACCACACACTTTATATTACACTCACAGGCAGATATATTTTATTGCATTTATATATAATTTTGAATAGTCCTCTCTTTCCAAAGACTCCTAAAAAATCCCCCCACAAGTAACTACAGAAGATAAAACTACAGAAAATATTCTAATCAACAGAATTCCTACATCCAGGTTAAACTGTGATTGATCCCAAAACAGGGTCTTATAAGGTTATACTTTCTCTACACAAGAAAGTTGAGTAATATTTAGAAGGTTACATATTTATAGGAAAACTAACTGCAGCGAAAATACAGATTTTCCTTAACAGCAAAGTAACATATATTTACTGCAAGTCCTCTCCTGAACTTCTGTGGAAGAAAGGATTTCCAATCTCTTTTAGCCACAGGAAACAAAGTCACAGCCTCTTATTGCCTAAAATCATTAGAACTTTTCTTCCTCCAGTATTTCTGCCAAGATCTAGTGGACACAACTGCTCCCACCCAGCATCTTGCAGAATCAGGTACCCACAAAATTGATCTTTCGGATTGTTTTTTTTCCTCGATTGAGGTTTGACTGTGTTTTGGGGGGCTTTGGAGGGTCATGGTTTGTTTTGTTTTAATTTTAGCTAGACCTCTTTACCTTAGTAAAGAGCTCTGGAAAGAGAAGGACAACGCATGAGAAAGAGAAGAGAGGGAAGTTGCTACTCGCACAGAAGTAGGTACTACAATTAGTAGTAACTGTTATTCCACATACCTCCAAATACATGTGATGTTAGCAGCACAACCTGCAGGAGCAAGCCTGGCTCCAGGCTAAGCATGGCAAGCTGAAGGAGTCTAAGAATCTTTCAAGAAATCTTCCAACCTTGGTGGACTGAGGGGAAAGTAAAACAGCCCTTATATACTTCCCACTTTTCTCCCACAGTATCACAATATAAGCAAACCGAGAAAAACAGTGCAACAGACTGAATTAAGTTTTATCAACTAAACAATACTGTTTTCTTAAATAAATATTCAAAACTGCATAAAAGCATGGAAGGACAATGATTATTATAACCAAAAAGCAGTCCACTGCCTACTGCTGTTGCCCAGCCCAACTTCTGTGGTCCTCAAGTATACAAAAGGTACTATCCAAAGCAAACTAAAAGGCAATGTGAAGCATCTACAGATTCTGAACTTCAAAACACCTTGAAAAATTTTATGTAAAACTCTGCTGCTAGAGGGGAGGACACTGCTCCATAAAAAGCAGAAGTAGTAAAGACGGATTTACATGGATTGTATCCCAGTCCTATCTGCATCAACCTATTTCAAAGACTGGTTCTGTGTCCTTGTCATAACCTCTGATATTTCCCAAATTCATCTTTAGATCATTCAGATCTTTCCATTCCATTTTCTTCATTACCAAACTAAATAATACTTTCCTTTATTTCAATGGGGAAGAAATAAAAGCTTACTCCAGTCTCTAAACTGATTCACTTTCTACCAGCAAAGAACAAACATGACCAAAACGCTTTCTAAACAAAAGCCTAAGAATAAATTACTTGCTATAAATGAGTATTAAGATTTAAAAAAACAGAACCACTCTTTTATGATATGTTCACTAGTTATTTTCCACTTTTAACAGGATACCTGTTGTATCAGGAGTCATGAAATCCTAAAACACCATCGTCCAGTTACACAATGTGAACACAATCCTGAGTTATGGGTATGAATTTTCAAAGGTTAAGACACTATGTTTACTTTCCTACAAGTGCAGATAAAGGGAGAATTACATGAAAATTAAAAGGAGACTCAAAATGTCATTGACTTTCTAATCCTAAACCATTTGGATTTTGCCACCGTTCCAATTTGCAGAACTTTTTGTCATACGTAACCAAATTAACCTACAATATGAGTTAAAATTACAACTTCAGGATTGCATTGCTTCTCCTAAACTAACAAATCAGAGCATTCATTCATTTGATAAAATTAACTCTGCTTTTGTGCACCAGAATCCTGGGAACTATCACATTAGCTCCACCTGTGAAATCCACAGTGCTCTCCAACTGCTTCTGACATCCACAAGCTGATATTATTTCCACTTTTCCAGAAATGTTCCCCCCTCCTTGTGGAGGGTACTGCATGCAGATACCAATCTCATCACTCTTGTGACCAGTACCAGGACTCAAGGAAACAGCAGGAAGCTGAATCAGGGGATATTTAGGTTGGATACCAGGAAAAGGTTTTTCACACTGAGGGTGGCTGGGTACTGGAACAGGCTCTCCAGGGAAGCGGTCAGAGCACAAAGCCTGACAGAGTTCAAGAAGTGTCTGGACAATGCTCTTAAGCACATGATGTGATTCTTTGGTCTGTCCTGCACAGAGCCAGGAGCTGGACTCAATTACCCTGAATGGATTCATTCCAACTCAGTATATTCTGGATTCTATAAAATGGTTGGTTTATTAGTTGTATTCTTGTAAAAACTCATGTCAAGATATAAGAAAGGTTTGATAATCAACTGTAAAGCCCATAAACAACATGCATCTATCCAGAAGCCCAGTTCATTCATGCATGAGAATATGATGAAAATCTAGTGACAGTCCAGGTCGAAGCTCTTCACAGTAAACTGAACACACTCATATCATGAGAGCAAGGCTCTAAACAAGTTGTCCATATGAGACTCACCCTACAATACCTCCTACACATATTTTATGTAGGACAGGAGAAAACAAATACACCCTGAAGTCAAATACCCTAATTGATCCTGATACTCCTCTTTCTTTGCACATACTTAAAAAGCACCAGCTAATTCTGCATTGCATATCAATGTGTTTATAAACGCTGTATAAACAGTCCTCACTATATGATACACTTGTATGCTTGCAAGTATAGAATTCATTGCAGTCTTCATTTAATAAAGCTGGAGCAGAAGAGGCCAGGCATACACCCCTTCCTGGAATACATTAAAATGAATTATGCAACTTCTTCACAACCCTCAGCACAGCAACAGCTTCACTAGTATTTTGCGTGAATTATGGCGTGACTGAAGTCTCCCACCGATGTGCTCTTTCAGTGCCATCTGCTGTACAGTGAATTAGACAGCCTAACAAGAGACAACTCTAGTAATTCTTCTGGCAGATATTTGCAACTATAAACAGTCTTGAACTCTACCAATATATTCCCAAAGCCTGGTGACTGTATGTGCAGAAACACCTGGAACACACAGACTGAAAATGAGATTAATCAAATCCAGAAAGAGAATGAGATCTTAATGCACAGAATAATGTGGATGAATGAAATTCAAACTTAAGAACTTCCATCACAAATTCTGTATCTCAGAATTTTTACTATTATGCAGGTTAACAAAATACAAGCCAGGTCTCTGGATGAAAACTACCAGCTTAATACCCAGTAAACACCACGTCCCCTTTTGCACATAAAAATAATGAAAACTAAATTTGCACCTCACTTGGAGGAAGAGAAACATTTATCAATCACATACAAATGTGAAATTACTAGTGAAGATAATTAGGACTAAAAGTTCACTTTACAGGCTGCATCTTGGAAATATGAAAAGCAGGCCATGCAATGGTACATTAATTATTATGGTGGCCAACACTGATGTATGAAAAATTAGGAAGTTTTAAGTATATATTAATTTCTGCAAATCCTGTTTGAATATTCCAACATTTCAGAGTAGTTTCAGTTTAATGGTACAAAATGGTTTCAGTAGATTAGAATCACATAGCTAACTCTAAGCAGTGTTTGTAAAAGTACACCAACAAAAAAGTTTGATTATACTGTATTCATTAATTTCTGATCTTTTTCACACTTTTATGTTAGGCATACTCATTTCCCAAGACAAATACTATAAACAATGCTGCCAAAATGCACTACAGTAGAAATAAACGAGGAATAACTTTAAGGAGTTAGGACAGAAAACATCATACTGGAAACATACAGCAAAATACAACTCATCTTTGAGCAAAGAATTGTTCTTAAAAAGTTTAATAAAAAATTCATCACAAATTACACTTCAAATTATTAGTTAATGTTATTTCAGAAAACCTTTCTAAAATAAATGTTAATCTGCTTATCTATTTCCATAAAGTGAAACAGTTGAGCATTGAACTTGATTTTGTTTTAGCCCATATCATCCTGCATCATTCCTGAAAAGTCTGTCTTTCACTTAGAAATACATAATCTTTATTTTATGCTGGATCATCATAAGACTTTCATCATTTACAATTTCAATTTATCTTATTTTAACATATTTATATTAGGAAAATAACTAAAAATACCTCAGAAGTGAAAAGTTTCTGCATTCCTGGGCATGACAACAACTAGGTTCTCATTACTGTCAGCTAATGAAGCCTATTCTAATCTGCAGAAGTGTAAGTTGCCATTCCCCAGCTTTCCCTAAATTGTCACTGAAATATATTCATGCATTCTTTGGAAGGGCATGTCAAACACAGCTCTTAAGGTAATGCAGATTTCAAGTGCTGTATTTCGGAAATTCCTGTGTCTACATTTTCTCCAAAGTTACTAAATCTATTAATATGAATTATTAAGAAGTTGGTCTCCATGCACATTCCCATCAATTTTACTTCAATACTGAATCTGTATAACTGGAAGTTTTTCTTCAAACCGGTATATAAAGTACTGACTTGAGGAATTTCCCACTAGGTACTTAGAGTTTCAGGCTATATGCGTACAAAAACTCTGCACAAAATACTCATGATGTAAAGAGAGATTCAGTATCTACTTCAAACATCATCAATTTCTAAAACAACATCCACACTACAAGGCAACTTTTCACTTTTTCTCTATACATGCCATAAGCACACTGAAGATGGTGAGTTTTTTCCCTTTGCTGATCTTCAAGTAAATTCCTACATTATACTCCTTTTCAGTAAGGAAGAAGAATCTTTAAATTAAGTAATCTAAATTCCATTGCATACTCTTATACCTTGAAAATGACAAAAAAAGGTAAATGGTTTTAGTAGTGGCTTCCTTGCTAATGGATGAACACTCCCCTAATATGATCACAAATTTTATAAAAGCCCTTTTGACACACACTGCTTTTCTAGTGAGCTCAGATGTACAACTTCACATAAAATTGGGAACAAGGAAAAAACAGATGAGAAGCTCATCTGACAGTACATTACACTTATAACAATTCAAGAGTACTTAAAGCCTCCTATTTTTAAGCTAACTAATCAAACACCTGAACCATGAGTTATTCACTACAAATTTTAAATTTATACCCTCTGTGAATGGAGCAGCTGAGGAAAGTACCATCAACCTCTCTACAGGGCAATATAATTGAACAGGTTTTATACAGATTACAATTTAAAACCAACCAACCAAGAGTAAGTCACATTATTTAGTCACATCATCTCTCTCCTATTTTTTTCCTCCTTTTACAGAACTTAAACATAAAACAGTCCATGGGCACTACTGTTCCAACAGAGGATAGTGTAACCCTAATCACTACCAACCTTTAGCAGAGAATAACCAAGGTACACCTTTGGTAATACATAGAAAAGTGGAGTAAATTAATAATGAAAACTTGACACAATGAAATTTTTCTTTGTCACTTCTGATTATGGGAATTAAAAGTATGTAAAACCAGGACACAGCCACTGCAAAAGTCCAAATACCTTGATTTCTTTTCCCTAGCCTGCTGTTGAAAAAGAATGCCCTTTAACATTCAGATTTCCTTAATTTTAATTTTTTTTTCATTTTGTTTCTTTGAACACCATTTAATCCATGAGTGTTTGCAGTAGGTCCTGTTTTTTCCCATATTTGGTTGCGGAATGGAATATTTCTATCTGATTGGTGATTTTCCTCTGGGGAGTAACTTAAGGGTGTTAAATGGCATCTCTATTATGG